TGAAGGGGGGGAGTTATTAATGGCAAACCGCCACTCGGAAAATGCTGTCCTCCAGCTCCTCCAACATCAGCGGGGCAGAGTTTGCCTCCAACGCGCGAGCAGCGCACCGTCGAGTTCTAAGCTGAGCGATGCCTCCCTTCCTGTGGGAAGCACCGGCAGACTTAGGTAGCTTGATGGGTTCTGTTGCTGAGAACTTGTGTGGGGCATCCCCCATAAGCTTCCGGGGTGAGATCTCAAAATCATGCACCCAGAAGATAAGCTTGCCTCCCAAAACTGAACATGTGTTGCATGAGGAAATGTAGCTAGGAAGCCTCCTTTGATCAAGTATGTTTCTCCCCGCAAAACATGCTTAGACATGTTGTCAAATGGTGTGGGCGCAGTAGGTCCTGCAAGAACTTCATGGGCTGCGATTTCTGCGGTTCGTCGCACAAACTTACTGAAGCTACATATTTCCGTAGCGTTTCTCGCCGTGCCGCGGAGCTGCTGCGCGAAGCAAAACGGTTGTAAGTTGTGATCCAAGTGACGCCCCCGTATCGACTCGCCTTCTTTACTCACGCCCCCCAACACTCTTCCAAATAAACAGCGCAACTTCGCTGCGCATGTGCTATACAGTTTGGTGGCTCGGGGCGCGCTCTTCCGATCAGGTTGGAGGTTTCGCCTAGGCCTTTTGACCTGTGCGTGCCCTGAAGGCCCCCGTAACAGAACAAAGCCATGCTTTGCTGACGGGGCAAACTTGTAGAACCTACACCAGTTCGTGCGGACTTTTTCTTCCGGTTTCTTTTACGGCATGATTAGTGACAGTATGTTCCAAGCATCTGTGCGGCTTCAATTCGAAGATTGGGCATGCCAACTGTTCACAACCTGCAAGTCTTGTTCGTTGCCATTTGAAGCCGCGTGAAAACGGTAGGTTTAAGCTTCCTTCGGCTGCTTTGATTTCACGTGCGCTTTGGTCCTCTCGGCCCCGGGCCCGCGCACGGAAGGGAGCGCCCAACGCGATGGGCTTCGCCAAACTCAGCTCAGCCTCAGGATTTTGCATCTCCAGGAGTGTTGGGGCGCTGGCGGCTCAAATTCAGGTTCCATAACACGCCACTTGCAAAACCAAAAAAAAGATATCTTGCCACATGACAACTTTCTGTGTTGTCAGCGGCATGCATCAAGTTGCCTTGTCAGGGCTGGCCACGCGCGAGCTTCGCTTTCGGGCAAGCCATTCTTGAGTATGTGCTTCAAAACATGCATACTTCTCCCCATCGCACGGATCCCCAACTGCTTGCATCCGCAACATTCAAACCACGCAACCCCTTCCCTGTTATCAAATAAATACGCCCTATCAGTCAATGTTTGTTCCCAACCCCCAATCTCCCAATACTAAATTCATACAATTTTCAACCAACAAATTTAGCGCCGCCCGACTGCAGTCTCAGAAAAAGGCTCTCCTAGTCAACATTGATGTTAGCACGTGGGTGTGGGTCAAAAATTGATACCAAAAAAGAGAACTTGGTAAATGGAAACAAGGACTAAAACATACTAAAACCTGCGTGACCCACACCCATGTAGATTCATATCCGACTGCAATTTCAACTGCGCCTAGCAATGCAGGATCGAAGATTCCAGAGATCCGAAACCGAGACGGTGTCGACCCCGTTTGTACCACCGAAGCAAAACTTCTGGGCACCCAACCTTACGCTATCAAATCAATAGAAAAATACTTCCCAGAAATCGATGCTTTGGGGGCTCCGCAATGGTCCGTATTTGTTCTTAGGGAGAAGGGATTGAGCTGTCCAGCATCGGTACGCACCTTTCTCCAACAACCTACGGCGACATTGCGCCATTTTCAGAGGCAGTGACAAATTGTGTCTGTCAGACAGACAGACAGACAGACAGACAGACAGACAGACAGACAGACAGACAGACAGACAGACAGACAGACAGACAGACAGACAGACAGACAGACAGACAGACAGACAGACAGACAGACAGACAGACAGACAGACAGACAGACAGACAGACAGACAGACACAGACAGACAGACAGACAGACAGACAGACAGACAGACAGACAGACAGACAGACAGACAGACAGACAGACAGACAGACAGACAGACAAACAGACAAACAGACAAACAGACAAACAGACAAACAGACAGACACGGCCTTTGGCGCGGAACAACGCCAAAGCCAAACACCTGGCAGCATCCCTCACAGCAGCTTGCCCGCTGGAGATCAGGCCAGGGAGATGGCTTTGCAAGCGTCATGGCCATCCCAGAGCAACAGTCCAACATGCAAAACAGCAACAACAGCCGACAACAACAACGACGACGACGATCACACGAGCAGCAACAGCAACAGCAGCAGCAGCAGCAGCAGCAGCAGCAAAACAGCAGCAGCAACAGCAAAACAGCAGCAGCAGCAGCAGCAGCAGCAGCAGCAGCAACAGCAAAACAGCAGCAGCAGCAGCAGCAGCAGCAGCAGCAAAACAGCAGCAGCAGCAGCAGCAGCAGCAGCAGCAGCAGCAGCAGCAGCAGCAGCAGCAGCAGCAAAACAGCAGCAGCAGCAGCAGCAGCAGCAGCAGCAGCAGCAGCAGCAGCAGCAGCAAAACAGCAGCAGCAGCAGCAGCAGCAGCAGCAGCAGCAGCAGCAGCAGCAGCAGCAGCAGCAAAACAGCAGCAGCAGCAGCAGCAGCAGCAGCAGCAGCAGCAGCAGCAGCAGCAACAGCAAAACAGCAGCAGCAGCAGCAGCAGCAGCAGCAGCAGCAGCAGCAGCAGCAGCAGCAGCAGCAGCAGCAGCAGCAGCAGCAGCAGCAGCAGCAGCAGCAAAACAGCAGCAGCAGCAGCAGCAGCAGCAGAAGCAGCAGCAGCAGCAGCAGCAGCAGCAGCAGCAGCAAAACAGCAGCAGCAGCAGCAAAACAGCAGCAGCAGCAGCAGCAGCAGCAGCAGCAGCAGCAGCAGCAGCAGCGGCGAGGGCAGCACGCCAGCAGCGGCGGCAGCGGTGGCCCGGCAGAAGGAGCGGGTGCGGCAGCAGTAGTGAGCAGCGGAAGCGTGCCTGACACCAGCGGCGCGGCAGCCGATTGACAGGCAAACAAAGCAAGAGGGCCGGTCTATGATGTAGGCCACGCATCAAGTTCGCCGCCGACGGACACGCCCAGTGAGAAAACTGCAGCTCGGCAAGCACCAGCTGCGCCGTGTTGAGGGAACCCATCCCCAACCGCGCTGTTGGGAGCACCCCCACAACAGCAAGCCTGTAGAGAAACTAAGATTCAAAAAACCGCGCCCCAAGGCAAATCAGAAAAACACAGCTTCAATGCCCAGCCGCGCTGTGAAGCCCAATCAAAAAGGGCTTCCCGCAGACGTGCCAAGTTGCCCCGGCGCTGCTTCCACATCCCCAGCACCGTCACAGCCAACCAATGACTCCCCCCTCCAAAAACACAGACCTCACAACCTCCAGCTGCGCGGCAAGCGTGCCGAGCCAAACAATTTGCCAACGCTCAGTCGGACCACGTGGGGAGCACCCCATCCCAGCCGCTATGTTGCAGGGCGGGGGGCACCCCGGAACGAACATGCTCGAGCACCCCCGAAACGAGCACGCCCTGACAAAAAGAACGCCAGCGCCAATCCCCAGCCGTGCTTGGGGGAGCACCCACAAGGCGAGCACGCCACATTAGAAAAAACCACCGTTTCGTAAACTCCAGCCGCGCCGTATTGCAGGAGCACCCGCGAGCAGGCCCAGTGAGAAGCAAACCAGCGCTGGTTCCCCTTCCCAGCCGCGCTGTGTTGGGAGAAGCCAAATCGCCCAGCAACCAAATAAAAACAGCACCCCAACCCCCAATCCGTGCCCGCGTTGAAGATCGCACGCCCGTGGCAAGCTCACCCAGTCAGAGCAAACAAGTTCCCCATGCTCAGCTGCAGTGCGTTGGTGGTCCCAACGCCCAGCTGCGCCATGTTGGGGGAGCACGCCTGACACAAGCATGCCCAGCGACTCCTCCCGACAAGAAGAAGAAACAGCTTCCCAACCTCCAGCTGCGCCGTGTTTGGGGAGCGCCCGAAACGAGCACGCCCAGGCGACAAAACACAAACAGCTTGCGACTTGGGGCAGCACCCCCGCAGCGAGCGCGCCAAATTGAGTAAAAAACAGCTTCCCAACCCCAGCCGCGTGTCATCCCCAACCCCACGCACGCCCACCGACAAAACAAACAACCCCTGGCCGCGCTTGTTGCCCGCTCACTAAGAAAAACACGAGTGCCAAAAACACACCGCCAGGGGGGATGACGCGTTGGACGGCGCCCATTCCAGACCGCACCTAGCAACTCAGGCCAAGAAGGACCGTGTAGGAACCAGACCAGGCTGCTGTCGAAGACGAGTACCTCCTGGTCGGCGGAAAGAGCCGGTGGCTCAAAAAAGAAAGAAAAGCACAGGCAAAGGTACCAACGTGAAGCGGGCGCAAAGCAGCGGCAGGCAGCGAAAGAAAGCTGGCACGCCCAGGCCGGAAGGCGCGCCAAGCGGGGCAGCAGCAGCGATCAACAACTCCAGCAGAGAAAGAGCTCGACAAGGAAACCGACCAGGAGTCTGGGTTGGTCTGCCCCTGGAGCGCCAGCAATCACACCTGAGCCTACCGGAAGCGTCCGGCCCCACACACAGCTCGGGGATTGTGTCTGTCAGAAGTTTGGGACATTTTGGGTAGAACTTGACGAATGCCCTTCTGCATAAACACCCCCATCGATATGCGGGACAGAGTGCGGGACAAAGTGTGGGACAAAGTGCGGAACAAAGTGCGGGACAAACTGCTGGACGAACAGCTGTCCGGCAAGTTGTTCGGGGTTGTCCGGAGGGTTGTCCGGAGGGTTGGGTTGTCCGATGTTGTCCGATGTTGTCCGCGCACTTTGCCGAGATTTATGCTGCAAACCACCCCTCCCGCGAGAATACTTCCCTCCGAGTGATTCCCGAATGGTTTTGAGCCGGTTCCGAATAGTTTCCGAGTGCGGCTTCCGAGTAGTTTCGGAGTGGTTTCCGAATGGTTTTGGCATGTTCCAAACGTGTCCGAAGACTTGTCCAGGGGTTTGTCCGGGGGTTCAAAGCTGTCCGGAGGGTTGTCCGGGGTTTGTCTGGGGAGTTGTCCCGCCGATTTTGTGCCCTCAAAGCTGTCCGGAGGGTTGTCCGGGGGTTTGTGCGGGGGGTTGTCCTGGGTTTTAAGCTCGTTTGGACCCAAAATGTGAAAACAGGTGTTTGTGCAGAACCGCCTCTGTCAAGGTAGAACCTTGGAACTTGGAAAGGCCTTGGGATTGCAAGCCAACACTGGAAGTGTCGTGCTGCCTGTTATGCACATGCTGAAGGTAGGCCTCCTCACACCTCAAAACCCAATCAGACTGGCAATGACAATCTGCACCGCAACAAAGCCTCGCCGCTTGCAGTCTGCGAGGCCTCTTTCTCAGACGGATCACGCGCTTGCATCACACAAAAAACGCCCAAAGGGCTTGGGCAAGGAACATTAACGGTTCGCTACCATGCTGTCAAGCATCTCTGGTGCCTGGTATTAGCACCACCTGTCATGCAGCTTGAAGAGGCTAACATTCTCCAGCCTCCGAAATCACCACGAGCCCACTTTCCAAACCCTTTCAGCAGAAACCCGCATGGAGCCCACAAAGCAATGCAGGGCCATCGGCTAGGATGCAAAGCACGCCGCATTTTGGAAACTGGGCCTTGGCTGACTTCCCAGTGTGCGGCCAGCTTGTTCCACCCTGAAGTGGCGCTCGAAAATGGCTTTCAGAGTGGTTCTGGTCCATTCTGGTGGTGGGAAAGGGAAGCATTCTTGGTTGCAAAAACCAGTGCTACGCTTATCCTGCATAAACTTCTGATTTCGGGAGCCACTCCGGACCAGCCGCGGAGCCCCCTTGAGGCCTTCCAGAAATCACGTGTAAATCAATGGCTTGTTCTGAGATAAAGCATCTTGGCCCGGGTCCGGGCCACTCATACCCCCTTCACCGCGGGAGGAATGAGTGACAAGCCCGGGGGCTGGGACCTTTCCAATCTTCA